TTGTTATCAGTATTACAGCTGCAGAGAGAAAAGCATTTAAAAAAAGATAGTTCTAATATCCACTTGCAGAACACATCAGCATTTTCCTGATATTCCTACAGAAGTATTGCATTAACGAAAAACACTTGAGTTCGTTGTGTATTTTGCATATTCATGTCACATGTTAGAAGTGGGATTTGAGTGGGTTTTAACAAGTTAAAACACAGCGACGAGGAAACTCCACTTTTAGACAAATTGAGGCGGCTCTGAAAAGAGCCTTTGGGGTTTAAAGAGTTCTGAAGGCGGGTTTAAGCGCGCTCTCCGCGGATGCGGCGGGCCAGCTGGATGTCTTTGGGCATGATGGTGACTCTCTTGGCGTGGATGGCGCACAGGTTGGTGTCCTCAAACAGACCGACCAAATAAGCCTCGCTGGCCTCCTGCAGGGCCATGACAGCTCCACCGGATAATTCTGTCAATTCTGTTACGTAAAGGGTCAACTCTGTTTATTAACTATGTTAACTAAAATAAAATAAAAAAACTGTACAATTGTGGTTTAAAATCTCAAACATTGAGATATGATGCATCCTTGTATTTCAACAACAAAACCACGTCTAGTTTAACGTAAACCCAAACCACAGATTAAAGCACCGAGAGCTCGTTAAGAGATAAGATGGGTGGCTCTTAAAAGAGCCTTTGGGTGTGTCGGAGAGGAGCTGGTGTACTTGGTGCCTCAGACACGGCGTGTTTGGCCAGCTCTCCGGGCAGCAGCAGACGCACGGCGGTCTGGATCTCTCTCGAGCTGATGGTGGAGCGCTTGTTGTAGTGAGCGAGACGAGACGACTCACCGGCGACGCGCTCGAAGATGTCGTTAACGAAAGGATGCGCTCGAAGATGTCGTTGACGAAAGAGTTCATGATGCCCATCGCCTTCGAAGAGATCCCGGTGTCAGGATGAACCTGCTTCAGCACTTTGTAGACGTAGATGGCGTAGCTCTCCTTCCTGGTCTTTCTGCGCTTCTTTCCTCCCTTCGCTGCGGTCTTAGTGACGGCCTTCTTGGAGCCCTTCTTAGGAGCAGACTTCGCGGGTTCAAGCATGTTAGCTCAGGATGAGAAGAACAACTCAATACAGCTTTAAAAACATGTACTGGGTGTTACTGAACGCTCATGCTAATTTAAGAGGGCTGGCTGCTATTCCCTGATTGGGTCTTTTCTCACAATGACTGAAAGAAACATATTTCATTGGTTAGAAATCGGCCGCGAGACACACATCAGCCAATCACAGGCTTCTAAATTTGAACGCTTCCGGCGTCTCCCGCACGCGCTTCTCTGTCTGACTTTCCCGCTCAAGATGTCTTTGTGATAAACACAAACATCAAGGAAGAAAATTAAACTATTTTTATTGTTTTGCACATTAAATTAACACGGCTTTCATTTCATATTAACCCGTTTAATGCCATTTTTACCCCAGACATGAAAATATCTAAATGAGGTGTCATTAGTAACCCTTTGAAATCATTATTTTTTTGACATTTCTTTGGAAAAGTGTGTGAAAACTTGTTTATGGCCGGTCACAATTGTGGAATAATGCGTGTACTGAATTAAGATATCTCTGCAGTCATAAAAAGTGTTATATATCTTAGCCCAGCTATTTTAAACGGTTTGATCACATTATAGGGTTACGATTATGCATAAAAAACCTTATATAACATTGACAGGAATACTGTGATGACTAATAAAAAATACAACCATCAACGTACTTTAAAATTGTTCGTTTTTTGTAACATCACATTTTTATATTAGTGCTATCAGTATTACGACAAATTATTAGCTAACAAAACACAATGAAACGCACTCTTTTCGAAGATGTGGGCGGCTCTTAAAAGAGCCTGTGTGTGTTTCTGGTAACACGGAGATGTTTATCCTCCGAAGCCGTACAGAGTGCGTCCCTGTCGCTTCAGCGCGTACACCACGTCCATGGCGGTGACCGTCTTTCTCTTGGCGTGCTCGGTGTAAGTCACGGCGTCGCGGATCACGTTCTCCAGGAACACCTTCAGCACACCGCGGGTCTCCTCGTAGATCAGACCGGAGATGCGCGAGGCGACGGATGGCGGGTTTGGTGATGCCCTGGATGTTATCCCGCAGCACTTTACGGTGCCGCTTAGCGCCTCCTTTCCCGAGCCCTCTACCGCCTTTGCCTCTTCCAGACATTGTTACAGATCTTCAAGCTTCTCCGTTGTTCAACAGAACTCGTGGAAGCAGCAGGTGTGCGAGAAGAGCTTTACAGTAGTCTACAGGACCTAGTTGAAACACACGAAGGCGGAGCTATATGCTCTCTCTCTCTCTCTCTCTCTCTCTCTCTCTCTCTCTCTCTCTCTCTCTCCTTCAATTTCTGTCTGACTGTCTCTCAAATCAGTTTAATGTGCTTTATTGGCTTGATTAATAATCGTACATCTGTATCGCCAGAGCATTTGCGGCTTATATCTCTATCTGTCCATCATTCAGTTTTAATGCATTTTATTGGCATCACAAACACGTTTGTACTGCCAAAGCATTTTCAGATAAGGTTACATATTAGGACAAAATTAACGTAACAAATTATAACGTGTGGACATTTGATACCACAGTCTTTAACTTACATAGAAACACACACACATACAGGATCACTGTGGTGGACACAACACACATT